ACGGGGACAATTACTTTTGATATTTTTTTTTATGCTTCTTGTGTCTTTAAACTTTTTCCAAGTGTAATTTACAGTTCTTAATGACATTCCAACTGCTCTTAGATTTTTTCCATTTTGTAGCAGCTTTATAAATTTTCTCACATTGTTACTAAATTTTTTGATTGTGGCCATTGTTTAAACAAAGACAGGTAAAATATTGCTGTTTATTTAGAAAATGATACAAGCACAACTCTTAAAACTAATAGTTTTTTCCATTCAAATTACGTGCAGCTGATGTACAGAATGAAAGGACCACCACTGCTCTGTCCATTTATGCCTTGGATTCAGACATAGAGCTGGGTTTTAGTCAGGCAAGAATTAACTGCACCACCCAACATGCACACCACCTCAGGTAGTTAGAGGCTACGAGCATATACATAGCTAGCCTTAGCAGTAATAACTGCATCAATCACAAAGAAGGGATAACTCTATCAGTAGCGTGGCAGGTGCTTATGGACAAAAATCTATGAATACCATCAATCACTGGAGAGTGCATGCACAAGGAGACGTAATCAGGAAACACATGTTCAAATTTCAAATTTGTTTTCTTTGATCGGCATTCCATCAGAAATTCAATGTTACCCGAGGAAGAACCTTTTTGGTTCGAAAACGTTAGTAACAAACTATTTATTTTTTTCATTTTTGTCATCGTGGGGGAACACACCAGTAACAAGTTTGAAGATTTTGTTAATTTACTTCACTCTGGTGTTGAGTTAATGATGATTTAATATTATAATAGTTGGGAATGTAAAAGCTTGTATTTGAAGACTGGTTTTGCATTAATTTAAACATGTGTTATAATCAAATATCATATATTTTTTTTATTTATAAATGTGTGTATTGTGCTCGCATTCTTTTTTCCTTACTAGGCAAAGAAGAATGCGAAAGATCATCTGTTTTAAAGATAGAAAGTTGTTAACGGGTGAGTGCATATGAAAGATTTAAAATACCTAGGAAGCAGTACTTTAAATGCTTGCCATGTGGCCAACAGAATTCTTATAGTAGATGATCTACTCTATGCTTTGATTCAGAAAGATGCATAAAATTTTTTAATATATAAACTTTGTTAAGAAAACTGATAATTACATGATAAATTGTATTTTTAATAGGAATCAAATACCTTTGTATAGATGATGTTACGGAAGCCTTTGTCAAACCTTGCATTTTGGATATAAAGGTCGGACCTTGTACTTACGATCCTGAAGCATCTCCTGAAAAAATACTTCACGAGACTATCAAATATCCAATCAGTACAATTACTGGATTTCGAATTTTAGGCATGAGGGTAAATATATTTTTCTATTCATATTTAGAATAAATAATAATATATCATTTATTCTTTAATTTTAATGAATACAGAAATTCTATTTGTGTATTTATAAAATTATATATTATAGTCGTCTTTCAATATTGTAATTTGGATGAAGTTTTTATGGTCGACAAATTAAAGCACTTTTGTTATTGTGCAGATGTTAGCAGTTGTGTTGTTGTTGCATGTGTAGACTGGACATGGGAATGTTGACAGAAAATCCAATACATTTTTGGTCAGTTTTACATTGTGGACATTGTAGAGGTGGCTTCTATTTGTGCTCTTTTAACTCATTAGAAAATAGACTATGAGAACTACACAAAATGTGCTTCAGTGTGAGAATGAAATGAAATTGTGATTCCATTTCATTTATTTTTGACTTTGCTCTGTGGGTTGTAATATCAAAACAATTAACCACTTCTTGATTTTTGCAAGACCAACTTATTAGTTTACACATAAATACAATGAACAATTACAAATGTTTGTAGATATTGGTCTTCATTGGCAAAATTCTTCTGCAACTTCCAAAAGGTGAGGAAAACAACAAAATAAAAGATGAAGAATTATATTCGTTCTTTTTTTAGCAGACACTGACTTACAGATGATTTCTTCTTTCCCCCTTCAGCCAAAAGAAGAAAGAAAAATATCACTTTTACAAAGATATTGAATTACTGGTAACAAAGTATTACAGGGTGCTAAGAGGACTTTTTTCTATATTCGTTGTGGGCTTAGCCAGGATGATAGGAGACAGTGACCAAGTAACCAGGACCATTCATGAAAAGTTTCTTGCTCAGATTTGTCCCAGATCTCATAGAGTGCCAATGCCCGAACAACCTTTGCCATGCTACTTTTTGGGAATGAACAATGTTCACATTCACCTTTAAGTAATGTATCTATCCTACAGTGAGCAATGTTCTTAAGTCTGTATACTGTGTGTATATATATATATAGCCCTGGTTTTATTTTATTCATTTATTTATTTTTTAAAACTGTTTCTGTTGACATTAAGAGGGCCTCCATTAGCAAGCCCATTATGAGTTTGGTCAGGCCCACAGGCGACTGGATGGTGAGGGACAGAGCTCAACATATCCAGGTGGGCCACCCCCTGAAAAATTTCTGGGGATTTTTGGACCTGTCCAGATTCGAACCTGGGTCTCCCAGAGCGGTAGGCTGCCACCTCGACCACTTGGCCATCTGGCCACATGGCCCACCAGTGGCCTAGCAGTCTTCGTACCCTGAACACTGGGAGTTCGGTCATGGGTTCGCGCCTCGCTCGGATGGACTGGCCACGTGGCGTTTTCCAGATTTTCTCCACGTCTAACGCCTTAATAGGGGCCAGTTTCCCTTAAAAGACATCCCAGAAGGCATCCTCCTAGGCAGATTGCCCAAGTGTTGCGTTGCCATAACTTAAATTAATTAAATTAACAAACAACCATCTGGCCACTATAATAGCTCTGGTTGTAAGGATATGTCTTTATGAGTGGTAACACTGGGAGTGACCAGTCTGATGACAAAATCCTCTCTTACAATCTTATAATCTTATAATGGAATTGTTATCAGTACGCACGATTTCATCCGATCACACTGGGCGAATTTAGTCGTTGCATTATTGTGACTGTTCACCGTTTTGTGATATCATCATCTCTATACACACCCGAATTTGAACTTAATGTGTAGGTACTGTACATTGTAATGGCAAAACAGTGTTTTAACAATTTGTTGACAGGGTACGTGTAGCCTTACTGTATTTTGAAAATTTATTTTTTGGCGTTATTTTACGAATTTCCTTCTTTCCAATTGTTAGACATCGATTGCTTACAATGAAAATGGACTGTAACACAAATTCACAATATTTGCAAAATAAAACAATATTTATTTGTTTAACTCTTAAATCATGGTTAGGATTCCTTTTGAATTCAGTACAACGAAACAAGATTGCAACGACAGCAACAGAGGGTGACTCACTCAAAACGCGTGTCTAAGTGCCCTCTCACAATAAAAATTTTTCGTATAATAATAATAATAGTTTACACACCAATTTTTGTCATCCGTAATGAAATTTCTGTTATGTTATATGTGGACAATGGTATCATTTTTATGAAATTACAGTATATAAATGGAGTGTCCGTAAACCTTTAAGCAACAAACGGTGTATTAGTAAAAATATAAATAATAATAGAATCTTTTTCCTTATGCAGAAGCATCCAATTTGTCTCTAGAGACACGACCACTTGTTAATTCACTGAGTCGTATTTTGAATAAAGGGCTGTTCATAAATCCCTACTTGATTTCGAAAATTAATTGCACTCGAGCTATTGAAGTTATATGAATGAGATATGTTAAAAGAAAGAACAATTGTGTTTTATTTACTTAGAGTTGTTCGACGTGTCCTACTCTCACAACACTGCAAACGACAATCCCGCATTCTGTTTTAGCTCTCATACGTCTCAATTCATCCGTGTCGACAGCAGAGACCGTCCGGACAATTTTCATTTAAAGGCCCGGTAGATCAGATGGCACACAACATACCTACGGTACACATGATCCGTGAAGTAACCCCATAAGAAAAATCACTGTTAAACCAAGGACGGGGGAGACAGAGAAAATAACAGAAAAATTTGCAGACACGCAGCCAATCCATTTGTCTGGAAAGTTCTGGTCGAGATAAATACGAACGGCGTGGACGGACATCGTTTTTCCGGAAAATGAAGTCCACTCTATTTTTGTTATTGCGGCATTAGCTAGTGCCGTCACGTGACCGTTGGGCGAAAACTTGCACCACTGCTTAACATTTGAAAAAATCTTTGAGTGTTTCTTTTAACGGGCGTACGCTCCCGTAACTTCGATAATTAAATACAATTAATTTTTGAAATTGGTAGGGACTTACGAATAACCTGTATTCATTTACGAAATATAGTCTTTATAAATTAATTACTTGGCTTTGTTCCCTTGTCTCCATTATAGATTATTTGTAACAAAACTTTTGCGACTTTAGCAGGATGACCGAACGGCCGAGGTGGCAGCCCACCGAGATCAAATCTGGACAGGTCGAAAAACTCCCAGGAATTTCTCGACTGGTGATTCATCCAGATACGTTCTACGTTCACACGTTTTTTTTTTTGCATTACATAAACTAAACGGGAGCATGGGAAAAACACTTTTGTAAATTAAAATTAGACGAAGATAGAAGTAGGGTTTGTCGTTTTTTAAAACCGGTTTTTTGAAAAAAATTATATATAATTTGAAAACCGAGTTTTCCCAATTAAAAATACTGGATTTTGAGCATAGACTTAAAAGATAAAAATTAAATAATTATTTGATATATTGACACAAAATTTCCTCTGTCATAAAACGGGAATATTGTTAAATAATGAGTTTCATAAAACTAACTACAAAAACAAATCTCCCTACACCTAAAATGTGTCCAGTTCAATAGGGAGAAATCTTGCAACAACCGAAAAACGTCTGGCAATACTGGCGATGGGTGCGACGTTCGTGTGTGTCCCTCCCAAGATCAAACTAACTTAGTCCACTTTTTCAGTTAGTCGAAGTTTGTGGCGTTGTGATACGTCTTTTAGTTAGTAAAAACAGAAACCATGTAAGTACATTTCAGTGTTTATACTAATATTTTTAAACTTTTTATTCCATTAAAATACAGTCAAACTTAAATATTACTGTGAGGCCCTGGGCTGGGATGAAAAACCTTCTTTTAACCATATCCAAAGACGAATTTTGATCTTTATGATTGATTAAAATTAAGGGAACTAAATTATAAAGGAAAAGGGGAAAAATAAAATTATTTTAATATTAAAACCACGCGGTAAAAAAGGAGATTTTTAAATTTAAATTTTTTATAAGATGACGAACAAAAAAGGAAATGTTAGTTAAGGTACAAGGTTCGTTCAACAATTGTATTAATAAACAGTTTTTTCTTAGGAACTGATCTGGTCCAGTTTCGCCTGGTAACAGAGAAAGGGTAACAGAGAAATTGGTTATCAAATATTTATTTGATAACCAATAAATTAACGATTTTCAAGACCACAAGATATTTAAGCCCGATAGAAGTTTGAGTCGTTGATTGATTAAAATATTTTTAATACAATCTTTTAGACCAAAATAAGTCATAAGTTTGGAATAACTTCAAAAACGTTGAAAAAGACAAGGCGTGCCGTAATTATTAGCGAGGTCGAGGCCGAAGTTTTAAACGCGAAAACGTGTATTGTACGTCGGATGTTCAGCGCCGCTTTCCTGTAAGCCTAGAAGTTTGGGAAGTCAGTGGAATCATGCTCGACATTCCAAACACCATTGTCAAACTTCTGGGCTTATAGGAAAGCGGCGCTGAACATCCGACGTACAATACACGTTTTCGCGTTTAAAACTTCGGCCTCGACCTCGCTATTGTCATAAAATGTTGAGTTGCAAAAGTTCATCTATGAGTAACCTCCATAATCATTCGAAAGCAGTCCATAAAATAATCGACAAGAAACCTGAACCGATCGAAAAACAAGAATTATCTGATCCCGATCCATCATCATCCTGTCTACAAATACAAACCAGCATTTTTAATTTTATGAAAAAGAGTAGTATAGAAGAAATTGTTTCAAAACTTGCTGCCATTGATGGATTGTCCATTAATAGCATTACAGCAAGCTCGTTCATACGAGAATCTTTGCAACAACGGAGATATTTCTTAACCACAAAACAACTGGAGTAATGGAACTTATACATTTTATGAAACTGCCAAATTCGAAACCGTAGAAGAATTGTATTGTATGAAGAAGGATGGGAAAAATTTTCTATAACTAGATGAATGGACTAACAAGAGGAATTGCAGATATTTGAATAACAGCATTTTGAAAAAAATTTTAATTTAGGATTAGTTTTCGTAGCTAGTTCTTGCGATGCTAAAACAGAATTAAAACTGGTTTCTGAGAGGCTACAAATTTTTAACTCGACATAGTTGCAGAACAAACGATGGTGCTGCTGTTGTGAAAAAATTTGGCCAAATATCGCTTATAATTAATCAACTATGCTATTCACACGCCATACACTTAGCAGTTACTGATGTATTGTATAAAAATAAAAAACTTGCTGAAACTGATGTAAATGTTACATGCGAGGAATCGGAAAATGACACGTCTGAGGATTCCCAGGATGACTTTGACCAGCGAAGTTCTCTCGATCTTGATGATTGTAGATTGTGTTATCAGACAAATATGAACAATCGATTTACCAAATCAGAAAAATTTGCAATGTTTTTAGAAAACCTCTCGTAAGAAATAGCGTTCTCCAGAATTATGAAAAAAACAGAAAAGCGGAAAGGAATTAAGTCGTAATTCTTGACTGCCAAACGAGATGGAGTAGTTTAGAGGCCACGATAGAAAGATTTGTACACTTAAAAGAATGTGTTGTTGACAAAACTATGTCTTGTTTATAAAATCGTACTGTGTTATCAGCTGAGAGGTACGAAGGAGTACAGTACGTGTCGGGAGTTGCAATTTGGCACAGAGTATTTGGTTCTCAAATAATGCGCGCACAAAATAAACCACACTCGTCGGTACTCGGGACCGAGAACCCAGTCAAAATAGAAAACGGCGACGCGCTCTACAAACAGGCGGTAGTGCGAAATTTGCGCGTGCGTTGGTGGTTGGGAAGTTGGAAATACGAATGTTGCTAAATCGAATCCTTGAAAAAACCCATTTACCTGTCCCATGTTGTTCGACATTGCTGACCTTGACCGGAAATATCTCGTTTTGAAAGTAGATGGCGCTAGTGTTATAATTTTATATTAAAACTAATTTCCGAAATATAATGTTTTTTCGTTTTACGTTTATTAATATATATATATATATATATATTGTTTGTGCAAAATAAATAATTTCGGACGATACGATAGCCAGGATTATTTTTTTCAAAAACGGGACATTTTCGTTAGGCATAGACAAAAATTCAACCAGGGGCGACACGCAGCGTTGAGAAATTTCGACATTGGATAGGTTAGTTTCACGGAAAATGTATCGCGTTCAAAAGCAGCGATACCAAAGAAGATTGAAGAATGAGAACGAGACCCGTCTTGAGCGTCAGTGATTCCTCTTAGTAGTGAGACTCCGAGACATAATCTTGTCGTTTTACTTGTTTTAACTTTGAATGACATCCACGTGGAACGAAGCACAGTATTGGAAAATTGTAGAGCTCCTTTTAATAACGTTTTATGACCAATACCTTAAGCAGCCGATGCCTTAGGACGACAAGATGCAAATCTTGTCGTCCTGTTTATTAACGAGTGAAGGCGTGTTTGAATTTCTGTTAATTTTAAAACAAATTAGTTGCGAGTCGTTACACGCTGTAGAGGTACGACAAACGGGATTAGTAACACTTGTTCGTTTTCAAAATCCACAAGACGTACAGCGTATTTCTTTCACTAGCTGCAAAATCCGATATAATTTAAATTATCTCGATTACATCCAAATTGTTCTACGGAAGACGACCGCGAAGAAGAAAATCGAGCCCTAGCTTTAAAAAATGTTAAGGAAAAATCGATACATAAATATCTTCAAGAACTTGGTCCAGCCCAAGACACAAAAAAGGAGATTTTAGTATTAGAGGATACAAACGGATGAAAGAAAAAATTTAGATTTATTACTTAATGCTTTAAAGACGATTAAACCTAGCCCAGTAGCGAGTAAGAGAGTTTTTTTCTATTTCTGGCAATTTTGCACACGGTTTAGCGATAGATCTATAGACGTTCTTTGCTTTCTAAAATCGTATTTTCTTTGCAAATATAAGAAATAAAATAATAATTTGTAGGCATTCATTGTTGTTCGTTTTCTATGGAGTCAATTATATAGTTTAATGTGATAATGTAGCATTTTGTTTTGTGTACACAGTAGACGTCGGTCGGTTTTATTTTATATTTTTGAAATTTTACAAATATCAAATAAATTAAAAACTTTTAAAATAAGTTATAAGTATCCCTTCGACTATCTCCATTTTGGGGGTGAACATTCGAAAACCGGTTTTTGTATAGACCTTAGATAAAAGAAAGCCTTTCTGTCAAACTTTATCAGCCGATTGCGGAGGCAACGTTTAGAGACCGACGGCGGTTTACAGATCGGGTAGACCGCTTTTAAGAAAAAGTTCATTGCAGAGAGGGCGTTTCTCGCCCGCCACAACGTACACAGCGATTAGAAACAAGTTACTCGACCTATTTTCTAGACTCACTCGACAGCGGGTTTAGAGGGCTTTTCGATTCGAGTGGTAGCTTTGTTCGTGGAAAAGTTTAGATAAAAACGGATATCGTTCCTTCGATAAATGTTGTAAACGGTAGGAATCGACAAAATTATTCATTAATTAATTGCTGGGAGCAAAAACAACAGAATGAAATACTTTAAATTAGTTTTAAATGTTCCAGTTTCGATATTCAAATGGGTGAAGACTTAAAACTTCATTCAAATCAGATGCATTTATTTACAATTCGAGTATCGCGTCGGTTATAAAACGTTAATGCAAACGAGTTAATAATTACAGAAATCTGTTTATAGATATAAAAGAATGTAATATTAATAATAAAATATTTAAAATTATTCATTTCGACAGTAATAAGATGTCGAAATAATTCCTTAAAAATCTATTTCGAATTCGGTATAAATTTTCTAAAATTGGATTTGTTCGTATTTTAAACCGTATCGGCGACGAAATTAAATATCGAAATAGAAAGGGATTGTCGTTAATTGCCGAACGATGGTTTTGACGGCCTTAAGATTTCATTTCCGAAAGCTTTCAGAATATAGCTTGGCCATCATTTCTGACGTCACAAACAAATAATCCGAATGGCCGAACGACTGCTAAAGCGGAAGTAAGAGCCAATGTTTTGCCGAAGTTCGTTTAGAGAACGGTCGGAAATAGACGATCGTCGACTTTGCAACGCATTTTAAACCGCGGTTCGGGCAGCCAACGTCTGTAGGCCGTTCTGTTTGATAAACGTCGTTTAACGTAAACTCTGTCTCTGCAATCGGCTGTATATGTATAGTAAACCTTCAAAACGGTTTGCGAGAGGTGATAAGAAAGTTCCTAAATGAGGGAAATTACGCATATAAACTAAATTTACTCCCACAACTGGGCTAAATTTGGATATAATGATTATAAATTAGAAATGAATTTGGCAGTAGAGTGAGGCGTTAGGTGCCATCTCGTATTAAAGTTAATAATTACAGTATAATTAATTAATTTTAGATTAATGGTTGTGGGAGTGTATTTGCTTAATATCGGGTTTCGATTGGCGTGTACTGTACATTTATATAAACTAAATTTAATTATTTTCATAAAGAATTAAATAAGTATGTTTATAAAAATTTACTAAACGGTAGACAATAGCGCCCCGATGGCAGCCTACTGTTCTGGGGAACCCGGGCTCGAATCCGAACGGATCGAAAAATCCCGAGGTAATTTTCGGGGGGTGGTCCGTTCCTCGCCACCCGGCAGCCCCATTGCGGGCCTGGCGAACCCATAATGGGCTCGCAAAGAGAGGTCCTCTTAGTGCCCACAGGGCGAAAAGAGTTAAAAAAAATATCGTCAGATAGAAATATCAACTTGGACTTTATTTATTCTGTTGTTTATTTTATAACAAACCGATTACTAAGCAACATAACTTTTCGTTTAAAATATTTTTATTTGTACTACATTATAAAATATCAATTTAAACGACTGAAAGTTTTCATTTCAATTCTTTCAAATTTTAATTAAAGTACAGTACGTTTTCAATCAGCAAGCAGCATATTATAACAGATTTACTGTTGTTATACAACTCGTCAGCAAACAAACTTTACCACAGATTGGTACCGCTTGAATGTAATTACAAACATTATTAAACCATCGAAAAACTCACTTTTTTACTCAAAATTCATTTGTAAGTCGAAAAACTGAATGATAGTGCGAGCATAGATTTTATTTCGAAATTGAAAATCCGAAACTTCTTTAATGACGATTAATAGCGTGCAGAACAAAGATATTTTCATTTGCCCCACGAAGAACTGCATGCGGCGAATAATGTTCTATTTACTATACGCAGTTTTCATCCTTTCTATCATTTCTATATTGACGATTTTGGGCATTATAGTACTGTAATATGGCTAGATTTTACTTACAAAGCGCATCGTCTGTGTTTTTCTGTTAAGAGGGACATTACTGTTTATGGAAAAATCTTACCCATAAATTTAAATTACCAAATATTACAACTAGAAATGTAATTTAAAACAAAGGGACCACGTATCGACCGATTGCCCCCAGTGGAGAGCCGGCATTGGGATTTTTAAGGAGATCTTTAATATACCGTTAAGAATAGTTGTGTATTTTTCAGATTTTTTGTCACTCCACCGGTAAAGTTTTGTATTTCGATAAACATTACGGGAGGCAGCAGACTCCCGAGACGATAGCCGACGGTAGGTGCTTTCGTCTTTCTTAACGCCGAATCTAGTGGAAGACACTTAATTCTTTTTGTTTACATTTCAGCCTTGTTCTTGTATCTGAACAAATCGTACGAAACTGCCGTTCACGCCATTTTGTGCGGTTTCCTGCACAAGTTGCACGCCATCGAGAATTGGTTTAAAGTACAAAGGACTTTCGCCTTCTACTCCAGTTCGCTGTTGTTCGTCTACGAGGGCGACAGAAGCGTGTGGGACCGCTGCAACCGGGAAATCGGTGCCATAAACAAGCTGACTTTTATACCGAATTGCAAGGAAGAGAACGCGACGGAAACCATTTCCCGTTCCAATTTAAATTCGCCGAGCGCGGGCTCGGAGTGTCGGGCCGGATCCTGCTCGGTGTGCGGACTGTCTTCGGAGGTGTGCGGCGCCATCCGCCGAAGGAACGACCACCCCCCGACTCTGTTCGACGTTCGCATGATCGACTTCGCTCACGTCTTTCCCTCGGACAAGGCCGACCAGAATTACCTGTTTGGCCTGAAGAGAGTGGTCGGGTACCTGAAGGTGCTGCAGGTCAGGATCTGGAGGCAGTGACGCTTTCACAGTACAAAATATTAATTACCGAATCCGAAAGCCGCGTTAATCGATATTTTAAAATTCTCTCCCACAAAAAATATGCAAATCGGCAATAAACGTAACCATAGCGGTTTTCTAACGGACTTTTCGGAAATATTTTCTATTTTAACTTATTAAAAATAAATTAACGAATTTTATTTATCCTCCCTGGTTTAAGTGTCCTTATTTATTCGATTCTACCCACGGGAGACGTATTCCGCCGCCGGTCCGAGTAAATGTTTTTGCCATAAAAGCTCAATTTCTACGCTAAATTCGCCCGGTGGTTGGAAACTTGACGTGGCCTGCAGCGACCGGGCCGTAATCGGTAAACAAAGAATAATCCAGAAATTAGCGGTAAGGTGTTAAATTTCACGACCGTGACCCGTTGGTGATAGGCGGAATACGGACGTTACGTAAACGGAGGAGTTTCGTCTTGGCCGAAAGAACAGATACGGGCGTGGCACGTCCACTTTCTTTCCGCCGTTCCGGATATTCGCCCGCAAATTCTATGAATTAATTTCTCTCGCTCCATCTTTCCCAAACACTAAAATAGAACGTATCGTTGGCGCCATAAGCGCGGATGCGCTACGTATATCAACAATACGTCGAATAAAAGAATGCGCGTTCTTTAATTCGGTACGAACGTTGGATTATTAAAGCGCAATTTACACGTATATTAAAAGTTTTTCGGCCGACATAAAAAATGCTACGGCTCCACCCGCCGTACTGCGGGGGCGACGTAGCCGCGATAACGTTTCGAGGTTTTGTATGGGTGAAGGAGATCCTAACTGGCAAATATATGTCGAAGTTGTACAAAAATGCAAAATTCCTCAAAGCTTAGTTCACACTGAGCGAATTTGACTCTACAACCGGAAGCCATTGCGAATTTTAAGCAGCCAATCATTGGCCAGCGAGTAAAAAACAAAATGGTATTTATTGATGCCGGGTGAGAGAAATATTAAAAATCTATTGCGGGAGAAAGTTTCTGTAGCCGTCTGGAAAACGACAACTAGCGGGAATACGATTGGAGACTGTTCCGAACCTGGAAGCCATGGGCTCTGACGTGTTTTTCGCCTTCAGTGCGAGTTATTTCGGAGAAATTCATTTTTAATGTACCGTTCGTTGACTCCAATTTAAGGAAGGAAAGTGACTGGCAATCTTTTCTTCCGTTATAATGGAAATCGTTCCCTCGGTTATTTGTATTAAACTATTCGAGTAATTAACATATGGGCTAAGCGTGCCGTTTTAACAAATCTAATATCGTTTTTAAGATATTTTATAAAAGCATTTGTATCTCGGTTCTAGAAAAAGGCCTATAATTTATTCGTAAATTGTAAAAATGGACAATAACAATGCTCGGTGCGCGTAGACAATGGGATTTTTGAAAAAGCATCTCCGATGATTTCCATTGGACGTAAGTTTTGGTACGACTCGATCTAGTTTCTTGTCTTCGCCGGGGTAACGGGATAAGTCGCTCTCGTCGGCGGGGTTAATCATTGCTTTGAAATTAAAATATTTTTAATGTACAGTAATGCTATGTACGCTACGCCACGTGGCAAAATAACATTGGTTGGACCCAAGGACNACTAGATGAGTGGACTAACAAGAGGAATTGCAGATATTTGAATAACAGCATTTTGAAAAAAATTTTAATTTAGGATTAGTTTTCGTAGCTAGTTCTTGCGATGCTAAAACAGAATTAAAACTGGTTTCTGAGAGGCTACAAATTTTTAACTCGACATAGTTGCAGAACAAACGATGGTGCTGCTGTTGTGAAAAAATTTGGCCAAATATCGCTTATAATTAATCAACTATGCTATTCACACGCCATACACTTAGCAGTTACTGATGTATTGTATAAAAATAAAAAACTTGCTGAAACTGATGTAAATGTTACATGCGAGGAATCGGAAAATGACACGTCTGAGGATTCCCAGGATGACTTTGACCAGCGAAGTTCTCTCGATCTTGATGATTGTAGATTGTGTTATCAGACAAATATGAACAATCGATTTACCAAATCAGAAAAATTTGCAATGTTTTTAGAAAACCTCTCGTAAGAAATAGCGTTCTCCAGAATTATGAAAAAACAGAAAAGCGGAAAGGAATTAAGTCGTAATTCTTGACTGCCAAACGAGATGGAGTAGTTTAGAGGCCACGATAGAAAGATTTGTACACTTAAAAGAATGTGTTGTTGACAAGACTATGTCTTGTTTATAAAATCGTACTGTGTTATCAGCTGAGAGGTACGAAGGAGTACAGTACGTGTCGGGAGTTGCAATTTGGCACAGAGTATTTGGTTCTCAAATAATGCGCGCACAAAATAAACCACACTCGTCGGTACTCGGGACCGAGAACCCAGTCAAAATAGAAAACGGCGACGCGCTCTACAAACAGGCGGTAGTGCGAAATTTGCGCGTGCGTTGGTGGTTGGGAAGTTGGAAATACGAATGTTGCTAAATCGAATCCTTGAAAAAACCCATTTACCTGTCCCATGTTGTTCGACATTGCTGACCTTGACCGGAAATATCTCGTTTTGAAAGTAGATGGCGCTAGTGTTATAATTTTATATTAAAACTAATTTCCGAAATATAATGTTTTTTCGTTTTACGTTTATTAATATATATATATATATATATATTGTTTGTGCAAAATAAATAATTTCGGACGATACGATAGCCAGGATTATTTTTTTCACAAACGGGACATTTTCGTTAGGCATAGACAAAAATTCAACCAGGGGCGACACGCAGCGTTGAGAAATTTCGACATTGGATAGGTTAGTTTCACGGAAAATGTATCGCGTTCAAAAGCAGCGATACCAAAGAAGATTGAAGAATGAGAACGAGACCCGTCTTGAGCGTCAGTGATTCCTCTTAGTAGTGAGACTCCGAGACATAATCTTGTCGTTTTACTTGTTTTAACTTTGAATGACATCCACGTGGAACGAAGCACAGTATTGGAAAATTGTAGAGCTCCTTTTAATAACGTTTTATGACCAATACCTTAAGCAGCCGATGCCTTAGGACGACAAGATTTGCATCTTGTCGTCCTGTTTATTAACGAGTGAAGGCGTGTTTGAATTTCTGTTAATTTTAAAACAAATTAGTTGCGAGTCGTTACACGCTGTAGAGGTACGACAAACGGGATTAGTAACACTTGTTCGTTTTCAAAATCCACAGGACGTACAGCGTATTTCTTTCACTAGCTGCAAAATCCGATATAATTTAAATTATCTCGATTACATCCAAATTGTTCTACGGAAGACGACCGCGAAGAAGAAAATCGAGCCCTAGCTTTAAAAAATGTTAAGGAAAAATCGATACATAAATATCTTCAAGAACTTGGTCCAGCCCAAGACACAAAAAAGGAGTTTTTAGTATTAGAGGATACAAACGGATGAAAGAAAAATTTTGGTTTTTTTCTTTATTGTTTTAAGGCGGTTTAACCTTGGCCCGTTGGGGGTTAGGGGGTTTTTTTTCTATTTCTGGCAATTTTGCACACGGTTTAGCGATAGATCTATAGACGTTCTTTGCTTTCTAAAATCGTATTTTCTTTGCAAATATAAGAAATAAAATAATAATTTGTAGGCATTCATTGTTGTTCGTTTTCTATGGAGTCAATTATATAGTTTAATGTGATAATGTAGCATTTTNGAATATTAAAAGCGAAAACTAAACACGTGCACACCCTTCTCTATGTAAACAGAGAGGTCAGGACACGTGCTGACGTCACTAACTTGCCATTCCTGGCTAACACTGTAGAATAGGGATCTGGCTATCCTTGTAGTATATAGTCCTTGAGGATGACCGGGGCTCCCGTCCATTACCCCGGCGGTTTTTACCGATCACGATGGATAGGGCAGAAAGAGTTTTAAAATAACACGTAACACGGCTATCTTTGCTGGAATAAATAAATAAATATTTCTAACAGAAAATTAAAAGATAAAATAAAGAAAGGATTTTTTAATATTTTACAACAAAAATATATTTTTCGTAACTAAACATAATCTCGACGTACAGAAAATGCAGTAGTTAAAATTTCTGGGTTCGTAGCTATGAACGTCATCATCAATCGAAAGCATCGAAGAGCCATTTTGGTTTTGTGTGAGTTTATTATCGGATAGATTTTTGGAATGTATCATTAGAAATTTCTAGATTATTTACATTTAATTAAGGAACTTAATTCACATTTATAATGTCGGCTCAAGAGCAAATGAGACAAATGTTAGATCAATTAATGGGAACAGGAAGAGATGGTAAATATCCTATTTAGTATATTAATAATAATGATAATAAAAGACTTATTTTTGTGTTTATCTGATTTTTTTCATTAAACAATGATAATAGTTTCTGAATGAGCTGAGATTTTTTCAAATAATTTTATATGTATATTGAAATAGAATTATGTACAAAACAATTTTTACAAATGATTTTTATTTATTTATGTACAAAACTCTAAACTTTAGTTTATTGCTTAATTTCATTATTAACATATTTCTATTTAAATTCATTACATTGGTATTTCATTAGTTTATTGATAATGAAGATTAAATTCCCAAGAAATAAAAAAGCAATAATCTTCCCAAAAATCTGGTTCCTCGACTGCATGGTTCTGTCAGTTTTGTAATTTCCACCCCCATTTTTAAATATTGAATTGGGTTACCGTCTGTTTGCGTGTGTGTTGATACCCGAAACTATCTTGCTAACTATTTATTTACTTTAATTCCTGGCAGATCCGAAGATTCGACTGATTCCGAAGAAAGAGATAAATGGTTTTACGGTCTACATTCTTTTATAATTATAGATTCTTTCGGTGTTGTTGGTGTATTATATATGCCAAAAACATTGCGAGTGACGAGTTTGAAATTTACTCGGTGTGGGTGTTGCAAATGTTTGTAAGGTTATATCTTGGCAAGTGTAATCGATAGAAACCAGGTGTTTTGGGAATGTTTTATGTGTACACTGAGTTTGCTTGAATAATTCTAGTTTCATCCTGTTCTAGTTTTTGTATAATCTCTGTAAATTTTTAAAATACAAAAATAATTTGCTTAAATTTTTAAATAAGTAAAATGTGGTTGGGTAATAATTTCTCAAATATAATTGTGTGGATAGATAGTTTTAACAAATCTTAATTTATTAGTATGCTTTTAGATTAATTTGAATGTTGGCCTAATAAAAGTTAATGTTTATCGAAATTGCTAATTATGTTATTACGTCGATCGAGTAAAGACCAAAATATCGTTAAATGACTAAAATTTTTCTATTTAGAGAACTTTAAAATTGCGGGTAATATATTTACATAGACACGCATTAGGAAAAATAAATAAAATGAGAGAATCTGAGGAAAGTGAATTGGAAAAAATTGGCCAATAGAGGTGAGTTCCTTGTTTGGTCAGCTGATTTACATGTTATGTATTGCTTTGAACATATGAATCAGGATATAATAGGAAATCTAACATTTATTGGCACAAATATTAACACAGTATGCAATGCAATTTGGAATTTATCAAAATGCAATTTAAATGCTGATCTAAGATAAGATTTTTGAGTAGGAAATTATACAATATATGAGAAGTTTTGTGATATTAAAAAAAAAACAGAGCAAAATTAAATATCTGTTTGTGAAATGCTTATGAATATGTTTTTTAGGAAATGTTGTTTTTTTTTTCTTTAAATGCAGTTTGTTACAATTGGATTTTAAATAGTTTTATTTTAAAATTAAAATTGTACTTTTATATAATAAATGATTTTAATTCAATCCTTACTATTCAGATTACACAAATATTCTATTGCTATGTTGCTATGACTTGAAAAAATTTGTAAGTACTGAATATTCATTCAGTACTTAGTGAATACATAAAAGATAATAAATATTTACATAAATGCTGACTAAATAACCCACAAAATTAATGGACCTTTTACTTTATTTCATTGAAAATAGGCCTAAAAGATTTAAAATTATATTAACTAACTAACTATATTACATTAGCTAATCCAAATTAAAGAAATTTTTAAAAATTTGATTGTTAACAGAAATAAAAACACTGATATTAAATATTTTAGGTTATAGAAACTGTCTATATGTTTAAGATTGGTTTCAACCTTTTGCCAGCATGAATCAGAAGATATTTCATAATTAACTTATGAAATTTGCTATATTTATTCCTAGAAAACATTCTTCTTAATAAAAATGTTTCTGCTTAGAGTTTTGCTGTATATTCAAATATATGCAAATATGTTAAGCAAAAACATTTATATTAACAGTTCTTATAGATTGTGTATGATTAGGAGTTTTTTAACATAGAATGAAGTACTGTTTTAACATACTATACGAACTCAAATAGATCCAGAGTGGGTCTATTTGTTTAAACCTGTTTGGGATGTGGATGTATTCAAATTTGTAGGTTTATTTTTTCAAAATTAGTATTTGTATGAATGTCCACAGAGGTCTTTAAACAAAAATCAAACAGTAATTTCAAAATTAACACAGACAAGAAATGTAACACAATCATTTACACAATTACGGTTTTGAATAGATTGTTTATATTAATTTAATCTGAAGTGTAACAAATATGATGCAAATAAATCCATATGTGGATTTATTTTAATGAAATTGGGTTGTGGATTTACTTGAGTTTATGGGATAATTTAACCTGTAGGTCTAATCAAGCATCTGTGGTAATTGATCTTTTTTATAAAGTGCAACTTTATCATGATAGTTTTTTAAAACAGATTTCTATTGAATGAGTTATAAAGAGTTAGTAAATTTTTAAAAATTTATCAAATAGGTTTACAGTTAAAAATTATCTTATTATAAATCATATATGGCTGTAGATAGGTTATCATACATTTTATATACATGTTATTAATAAATTTACATACTTCGTATTTCTTTTACTTTTCTTATTATTAATTATAATTACTTTTTAAATATATGCTTTAGGATGAAATTTTTGATTCATTAAGCTGACGGTGTTTTTGCTATCGTAGTAATAAAATATATATATATATATAAAACTGTCTCAAAAAGTAAACTAATCAGAGCTTCTTAACAATATCATCAATATAGAACCATAATGAAATGATGTAATCCACATTGTACGTATTCAAAATGATAATGATTTCTTTTCTCATGTTAATAAAAAATTTTTGTCATCTTTTTAGAATACAGACTATAAGAAATATCAGACAATGGCACAATTGTGCCATGTGCCCACTAGTAAAATCTAAATAAAAATAGTTCTTAATTGTCAAATCAGCACCTATAGTAAGTTTGAATACAACGTCTCATTGGGCGGAATTGTTTCTTGAATATAATTTCAGCAAATTCAATTTTGTTGTTGTTAATTTTTTAAACTAAACTTTTGGTTCTTCTATATGTTCTTGTATGTAATTTGGCACTTGTTTGGTTCTCTAAATCCAACATGAAAATGTTTCATACATAAAAAGTTTGACAACACCTGCATTTCTGAGGCACTATGCTTGGAAGCATTTAAAAGAGATGTGATCTGCAAAATGCTGCTGCCAGATGGATCAAGCAAATTTATAACTTTTGCTTTTCATTTTCTTCAGCCTCACTCTTTGGCTACATTAAGATTCAATGAAACTTTGCTAACATCAAAGTTCATAATATATATATTTTTCATATTCCTATGGCAGCAATATATTTTTTTTAAGTCACTGGACAACTACACAAGATTATACTCCCTTAAATTTGACTGCAGAATAGTGTCTTTTACTGCTGCAAACACAAACCGGATATTTTCAGTATCTGTGGCACACGTAAAATGTGGATATATCATCCGATCTTCAGCTGGATTCTGAACCAAATACATCTTAAGTATGAATTCACGTGCTGCAATATGATCTTGTTTTGGACCATCAAATTCTGGAAAATAATCAACTAAATGTGAATGCATGATCTTCTCTTTTAATAAATTTTTCTTATTCAAGAAAAGAATGACAGAAGAATTTTGAAACCAGGGATAAGTAATAATGGTTTTGAATAATGCTTTGCTTTCTTCCATTCTATTCTCATTATCAGATTCAAACAAAATTTGATCATATTCACTTAAGGCAACAAGAAAAATTATAGATGTAACATTTTCAAAACAGTGTATCCATTTTCTTCTTTCAGACCTTTGACCACCAACATCAACCATTCTGAATATAATGGAATCCAAATCAAATGGATATTCAATTATCCCAGTTGTTGGAACTCTAACACGTAAAATATCTTGTTGAGTTGGCAAATAATCAGAGGTAGATATTCTATCAAGATCATTTAAATAGTATTTAGCTGAATCTGTTAATTGATATTCTCTTCGTCTATCATAACATTCTAGAATGCCAGGATCTGCCCATAATGATTTAATTGCTTCTACATACTGATTACTGAATGTTGTTACTGTTTCATAGTCAACTGACCTAACCAATTCCGCATGTTCTGTATTTTTTTCATTTTTGTATTGTATTTGTAACAAATCCATTGCTTTTATCATGCTTTGCATGGCCATGAATATATTTTGGTATACAAGTTTAATAAATCCTCTTTTATCTTCATCAGAATAACCAGATCCATGAATAATTTTCATCTGTCTAATGAAGGTACTCTTTCCAGATTCACCTGTTCCCAGTAAAAGTAATTTAAGTTCTCTACGTGAATCTTTTTTATCTCTTTTCAATTGTTTTTCGATTTCCTGATTAATTCGTCTCTGTTCCCTCTCTTCATCGCTTAAACAACACGCCATGTTTGACTTATTTCTACAAAATAGGCAAATATACTTCCGTTCGTAATTATTTCTATATTTGTAATAAATGCGTGAAAATAATAATAAAAAATATTTAACAAACAATAATTCAGTAAAATAAAATGCGTGAAAAGATTAAAAAATTTCTCATTTTATTAGAGGAAGGCGACATCCGTATCGAGATGTTATTTTTTTTACTTTTTGGGCGTGGTGAATAACCGACAACTAATATCAAAATAATTAAAAATAATTTCCAAATAAGTTTTATTTAGCATATCACAGAAACGTAATAAAAAATAATACGATCGATAATAAAGTTTGCCGGTGGTTCGAAGATAATTTAATTACGAAACTACGAACGAAGCAGGAAGGACATTATTAAATGGAATAGCGATAAGCGTCTAACTGCAATTGATTTGAAGCGTCTAACTGCAATTGCAGGTTGATTTGTATTGTACACACTCAACCTAAAAAGAATGTAAGACAGATTTAAGATAGTTGAATGTCATTTTAGCAGCAAAAATGGACTTATGATGTGTGCTATCAATATTACCATAGTAGTGCCTGAGGAATGTGAATGGTTAAATAAAACTTTTTTGCATAATTATATATATAAGCAGCAATTTATGATATTGACAGATAATTCATTAAAGATGCATTACAGCAAAACAATAAAATTCAAATTTTACCAAATGTTTTGGTCACAAAAGTTTTATTAACTTTAGTGTTTAATAATAATAATAATAAACTTCAAAAGTTTTAGAATAGTTTTCTTCAGATACAATAGTTATGCAAATAGTACAGTACATTTAATGTGAGTAACTAGTATGAGTTTATCTAAATTAATAGTTTTGAAGTAAAGATCAGAAAGCAGTGAGTTCTGTAACTGGCAATGCATCTGCATGACAAGTGGGAGTTGTGGGTTTGAATCCTGCTTTGAAGCAATTCTTTTCTTCCAAAACCTTCTTAATTAATTATTAAATTTATCAAGAGATGGTTCTTAATGCCTACCTCTAGACCAAATTACTTGAAATTTAATTAGTAATTAGTAGCCCAATGTTAATCTGGCAATCGTTTGGCTTTAATCTAAAATTCGAGTTTATAGATGTTTATATTATAGATGTGTACATTTAACATTCTAACAGTGGTTAGAAAATACAATTGCATGAAATTCAAATACCTTAAGTAATTGTGCCTTTATTTCAAAAGTGTTTGATAAAAATTTTTCTTTTAAAATTCACTTTGAAAGCACATTATATTCTTCCCTAACTTTGTGATGTGAATTTTATAAGTTAAATGATAAATTATATCAAGAATAATATATTTCAAGAAGTTTTTCTATTGATTATAATTAGAACGAATTGAATATATAAGTGGAATATTCAACATAATTCATTTACTTGTGACTTGACACTTCCTGATAAAAACTAAGTTTTGCTTGGAACTAAATCCCAATTTTCAAGATAATTTTCCTTCATATTTTATTTATTAATTTCTTGATTGATAATCAGTTATCCAACAGCCATTTATTAGAAGAGAATAGATTGCCATCATTTTGATTTTTAGGCAGTGATCGATTTTCCTTGAAAGAGCAATTTCAAGAAATCTGATTTAATATTTGAGCAATTTTTAATCAAAAATAACTTTATAACAATTCCATCCATGAATATATTAAAAAAGTTATCAATGACATTTGTATAGTACATAATCATATTTAATATTATGCTTAAAACCAAGGCTGGGGAGTCGCATAAAAATCTATCCACTCCGACTTTTCCTTACCATCTGACTCCGACCAGGGGCGGACTTGTTACTGAAAGAGACCCGGAAATTCTGATGTCATCACATGACCTCAGAATAAAAGATTCAATAAATAGAGTTCTAATAAAGATAGAATGTCTTTTAGCTTTGGAATATAGTTTTATTTCAAAGCTAAAAGACTTCTCTAAGTAATACTCTAAGTAATAGGCCTATATAAATATGTATTCAATAATTTTTACTTGTTCCGGCTGTTATATTAGGTTGGGGAAAAAGAAATCCATTATTTTTACGTTCATTTCAAGTCTTTATTTAACATGGTTCCGATTGTTCGACTTGGATCAAATATGCACCATTTTGTTTTATAATTTCTTGCCATTTTAAAGGTAACTTCATAATTCCTCTCTCGTAGAAGCCCTGGTCCCTATTGGCGAAAAACTTGACTAAGTGATTTTCGCAATCCTCTCTTGATGCCAATTTCTTATCACCAAGGAAATTTTGTAATGATAAAAAAAGATGGTAATCGCTTGGTGCCAGGTCTGGACTATAAGGTGGATGCATCAAAACTTCCCAACCAAGCTCCTGGAATTTCTGGCGAGTCACTATAGATGTGTGTGGCCTGGCGTTGTTGTGATGAAGTACAACACCTCTTCTGTTAGCCAATTCTGGCTGCTTCTGATCAATCGCTAGCTTCAAACGGTCCAATTGTTGACAGTAGAGGTCCGAATTTAGTGTTTGGCCATATGGAAGCAGCTCATAGTAGATGATTCCTTTCCAGTCCCGCCAAATGCACAGCAAAACCTTCCTGGCTGTTAGTCCTGGTTTAGCCACCGTTTGAGCCGCTTCACCACACTGACCACGATCGTTATCGCACAATATTGCCATATGTAACCCATTTCTCATCCCCAGTCACCATCCGTTTAAGAAATGGGTCGATTTCGTTCCGTTTGGCCAAGGCTTCGCAGATGGAAATTCGATCCATAATGTTTTCTTCCGTCAATTCATGTGGCACCCAAACATCAAGCTTCTTTTTGAATCCAGCTTTATTCAGATGGTTTAGAACTGTTTTATGGTCAATCTTTAGCTCCTGGGCAATGCTACGAGTGCTAACGTGCCAGTCTACTTCTATCATTTCCATGATTTTATTGACATTTTCGACAACGGGCCTACCTGTGCGAGGTGCATCTTTAACATCGAAATTACCAGAACGGAACTGACGAAACCAAAATTGCACATAATTGGCTGTGACAGTATCAGGACCATAAACACCATTCACAATTTCAGCTGCCTGGCTTGCATTTTCGCCTTTATTGAAGCAAAATTGTAAAACATACCTAATTTTCTCTTTGTTAACTTCCATCTTTTACACCCTATAACTCACAACTGAATTGACCAATCAAAAAACTGTAAAAGAATTTTTTTTAGTACAGAATGTCACTTTTCCAATAAGCACAAGTCTGAACTTGTGTTATCAATATTTTATGAGATATGTATCACTACAGCCATCTAGTGACAAAATAATGGATTTCTTTTTCCCCAACCTAATGTATAACAGAGGAAAAGTGTAGCGCTTGGTCAAAAAATGACCTCTCCCAAACTTTTATATTTTTGTACTCAGGACACCTTGAAATTTTGAGATATGCAAAAGATTCGAGGCTTTTTTTTTTTGTATATGTGTGGATGTTAGACTGTGTGGGGGGCATGATTTTTTCACCCTGTTTGAAGCCTAATAATTTCTGTGGTCAGAATCGGAGTCGGATGGTTTAACACAGGAGTTATTAAGCATTAAGTGGTTGAACTAAATCGTGTCCCAGTATACATTCTAACATCTTAGGCAAGAACATCTTAATGGGTTTTACTATACTATTATAAAATGGCAAAAAAGCTTACTTTGAGGGTAGAGACGAGTTTTACTTTATTATTTTAAATTTTGAACGCTAATAACGAGTAAAATATTCATTAAGAGATGTGACACATGGCCCCTTTTATGTCTTCATCCTATCAACCTTTAAGAACCAAAATTTAATAGTATTAATGCCCCTTTATACGCAAGCTACAGTGCTACATTTCGTTCTTAAACTTTACCCATTCTGAGATATTGTTTAATATCTCAGAACAGAAAATAAAGAAATTAAACAAATTAGACACTTACACCTCGCACAAATTTTTTTCCTTTATTGACTTTTTTGAGGAGTTTGGGAGGTCTCCAAACGTGTAGATTTGCAAAAAAACAACTTGGAGGGTCAAATTTGACACGATTCAAATACTTTTCCGTTTTATATACATAACAAGTTGGTAATTAAAAAGGAGTCAGTTGGCAGATATTTTGACTACTCTGACTCCAACATGAAAACTTCATGACTCCGACTCCACAGCCCTGCTTAAAACATAAATGAACAAATATTACCTTGTGTTTCTGGCTCCATCTGAAATAAGCATTTACTATGGATGATAATCCATATTATTATCCATATTAAATGCTTATTTCAGATAGTCAGTCGTTTAAATTTACCATGAAGGAATATTGTCGGGCTTCATTAGGATAGCTTCAGCTTCTTGATGAATATCAGACACTGTTCAAACAATAATTCAGTTAATCTATTACCCAATAATTCTGCCTGGGAATGACTCAGCACCCATGGCTTACAACTCTCACTGCTAGGGTAAAGCATTAGTTACCTGAATGCCATATTGAGAGATATAAGCCATGGTTCTGAGTCGTTTTTAGTTGGTGCTTTGAGTAACCAGTATGGTTATATCTAAATTAATAGTTCTGGAAGCAAAGATATCAGATAGAGGTCTGGGTAGCATAACTGGCAATGCAAATGCACAGTATGAAGTACTTAAGAATTCTAGTCCTGCGTCAGGCTGATTTTTTTCTTCCTGAACCTTTTAGATTAATTATTAGAATATTAATTTAATTATAATTATTAAATTTATCAAGATATGGTACCTAACACCTATCTACCTTCAGCTAAATTACTTAACATTTAATTATTAATAGTAATAATAATACAGCTCAATATAATCTGGCAATTTTTGGCTTTAATCTGAAAATTTGGTTGTTAGATGTTTATATTTGTTTGTAAATTGTCCAATAATTTATTGAAAAGTATATTATTTCAAATATAAATGGAACAGAAGTATAATAATTTGCTGAAATGCTTACAATTTATTTTTAAATTAAGTTCAACTAAATAATCAAGGAATCTATTACAATATTCGGATGGCAACCAGAGTGGCTTAATGGGTATTATTATCATGAAACATATCCTACTTGATTAATATTGGTGGCCTAGTGCTATGCCAGATCAAGGTCAAGTCATACATACAGAAAAAACTGTTTTATTTATGCACTGTTCTTGTATTATTATTTTAAAAAAATGCAAAATAGGAAGCACTTTCCAATCAGAATTATGGACACTTTGTGCAGTGTTTACATGACAGTCCTCTTGTATCAAATGTATTTCATTTTTTCATGGAAAGAAAGAACACTGAATTAGTAGTGAAAAATGTTTTTAACTATTTTAAGTCTTTTGTCTTTCATCTCTAACAGTGGTTAACTTTTGGGAAAAATGCTAAAAATATATTGTTTTTTCATTATGTTAACTTTGTTGGCTCATTCAACTTTATTAATGTAGTTGATTA